GTAACACAAGTACTATTTGGGACAGATGGTGCGGCTGCTGTGAGTAACGAGCAGGCTTGGCGGTTGTGGAACTGCTTGGGTCACTGCCCTGCATGGTCTCCACTGCCCACAGACTGTGACAGTGCAGGCAGGTTTTACTCCCCAGCATTGTTTTCCTCCTCCTTTACCCCCACTCCACTGGCATACCTTGCTTTGCCCTTCCAGGTCTTGGTTTTCCTTCATTCCCTCCCCTCCAGGAGCCTCTCCCTTCAGCCCCTTAATCGAGCAAGCTCAGTCTCTCCCACCTCTCTCCCCCTACCCCTCCCGACCCTCCCTCCTGTGCCCCTAAGCCCCCTCTCCTCAGCAACTCCCCTTCTCCAGCTTCCACAGCCATTGTGCACAGCAAGAGCAAACCTTCTGCCCCATGCCGGGCCCGCAACAGCAGCCTGGCGGGGCCCAGGAGTCACACAGCGGCCGCAAGGCTGGTCCCGACCATCCTGGCTTGTCTTCATCTCCCGAATCAACAGGGACGGAGGTCAGGGCTCCCCTTGGCACGGCAGCTGGCCAGGAGGTGACACACTCGGTTTCCTCATCCTTCCATGCAAAGGCTGCAAAGAGCACATCCCTCAGCGGTGTCCCGTCTTTGACCTCATTATGCAGTCTGCATTATACAGGGGCTTTTTTAAAGCTACATAATAACGTTAGTAATTTGTTTTTACAGTGAGCATTGCAAGCATAAAAGAGTTAAGTGGTCACGAGGGTAAGTTTACCCCAGGATGTATGGAAGAGCAGGGGACAGAAATCCAGAATCCATGTCATGTATCATGACCTCAGGACAAGTTACGCCTTGTGCTTACCCACCCATCAGGGGTAAAAAGCACACTAATTACTCCTACAAACAATGCTCTAGACAAGATAAGTCATAATAAGAGTTAAGATGCACACATATCTGAACAAAACAAAGCAACACTGCAATTTATATATATAATAGGTAATTTTTATTTAAAAAAACATTGCAACTGACTCCATGAAATTTGCCGTACATTCAAAGAGATGTATTTAAAGTAATTGATTTCTTATTCTCTGAGGTGATCATTGATACAGATACTTCCTGACAATTAAACAACAAAAACAAAGTTCTGTAACATTTTGTCCCTAAAGTATCTTGCAAGATGAAGTTCAAGCGTTCCTGGCCAAGAGTCCTACCTTGCTAAATGCCACATATGGAAGATGACTTTAGACATGGTTTCACTGGCTTCTCCTCCAGCATCTGGTGTGAAAGAGACAGTCTGCAGAGCTCACAGGTTTGCGTACTGATGACAGACTCAAGAATCTGCCCAAGGAAGAGTCCCAAAAGGAAAAAACAACAGTTGTTTTATCCTCACTAATACCTGTAGTTCAAAGCCAAAAGGTGGCCAAAAGTGTGCACTCCCAGGTGAAGCTATAACATAAAGAAGTATATTTCTTAAGAGCCATTTATTTTTTATATCCCCGTTTCATAGAATATTAGAAAAAGACCACCATATACAAAAATCTTATCATTGCAAGTTATTAAAAAAAAACCCCTCCAGACCATTAAAACACACAAGAAAGTGTTTGTTTGCATACAGTAGAAATACAATCCTCATTAAACCAGCATACCGGAGAAGCCAGTTGTTCAGTAGATTTACGATTAAAAAGACAAAAGCCCAGATGTTCCTGAAACACAACCAGAATATTGGAGAAAAGAGAGGAACACAACATTCATAGTCTGCCATGTTGGGTACGTCGTCTTTGTAAGGTCACTTGAGGCCTAGAGGAGTACGATAGCGAAACAAAGAGCGTGGAGTCAGTGCCTGGGCAGAGCGCTCCGTGCCCAGCTCCAGCCCTCGGGCACAGCAGGTCTCATCGGCTCTGCTGCACTTGCGCAGACCCGACGGGACGGGATCTGCCGGGGCAGGAGGGCCTTCCCTGGCATGCCTGTCCTGCCGCCTCCAGCAGTGGCCCCGCCAAAGGGCAGGTTTGGGCCTCAGGTCTCCACCACCGCCTCCAAACTGAGCGACGCGTGCGGAGGGAGCCCCGATGCCAGCCGGGGCTGCCTGAGGAGTGCGAGGGGCACACGGCTGTAAAGCAGCACAGGGACAACCTGCTCTTCCCTGTCTTACGATGGACATTCCCAGCCGAGCGTCACGCAACCGCTGCTGCAGCCTGCTGACGCTTCCCCTCCAGAGGACAGTTTGCCACCGATGAAGACAGTCCAGACTCAGGTCATGAGGTTCCCAAATGTAACAAGGTAGGGGAAGTATCTGATTTACACACTGAAGTTATTAAACCTTGGCTTGCTGCCATCAGCAAAAAAACATAAGCTTTTGGGCTGATCTTGGAGAAAAAATGATTCTCAAAAAGCCGTCCCAGCTCTCAGACCTTGGCTGCGGTCAGGCAGGACTCACCGGCAGCAGGGAGGGTGCCTCGCGAAGCAGCAAGCAGCGCAGAGATCGCTGCTCCTGGTTGAAGCGCCTTGCTGCGGCCGCCTCGCACCAGCCAGGGCGGTTTCGTGGCAGCAGCTGGCAGGAGCCCACGGGCTTGGCCACAGCCCCCCGCGGGCCCACACCACCTGCAGCTGCTAGGCACGTGCCGCTCTCAGAAAGGGCACGGTGACCTATGCTGGCAAACAGCCATTACAGACAGCATCTACATTTATAAATAAACTCTCTGCTCTTTCAGCTTTCTTCATCCCTCCAAGTACAGGCTGCTGGTTCTTCTAAAAGCCTAGATGATCTTAAGCAACAGAAAAAGGAAAAGGTGGACTCCTTCCTTGTCGGGTCAATGCAAGAAACACCCCAACGCGTAAACCGATTCTTGTTTGGCATTAACAACATGAACCTGAATCTAAGCCTCCACAACCCAAGCTGTCAGATGTTGGTCCTGCTCCACAGGACACGGCTCTGTCTCGAACTTTTTCACTTCCCCTTCTGAGGCAATGGAAGTGGAGTTGCTTCTACCTTTGTGGCTCAACTGCCATCTAGAAATACTTGCCTGGCAACACTGGCAGCACGCATCTGCAGGCCCACTGGTTTGTGAAGGACATCCCGCAGCCCAGCCCTGTCCTGTGCACAGCTGCCGGAGCCTGGCTGCCTGCCGAGTGCAGGGCAGGCTGCTCCCAAACCCCATCGTTTCGAAGCACGACTACCTAAGTTACCTGCAGTCTCCTGCTAGCTCCTCCTTTTGCCTGGCTGCTTCACTGGCTGTGCCTGCTCTAAACATGGCTCCAGCATTGTCCACACTCAGGCCCCCTTCATCATCTCCTTGATGACGCCACGCTGACCCCGCAGCAGGGGCGGACACCTGCTATCCATTCTTTCGCACACTGATGCTTTACACTGTGTATGCCTCATCTATTCCTGGTGGCTCACCTCTTCGCAGGGCCTCCCGCCTTCACTGCCTCTGCTCACCAGACACCCTTCTTAAAGAAAAGAGAAAGATCCTGCACCTCCTCTTCAACACTTCTTCCTTCATCATGGAGATACTGAATGCTAGCCTATGCCACAAACTGCGTGCCAACGTACAGACTTTATATTATATAAATAGGTAGAAGTTTCAGACAAAATATCCTATAATTTCTGTGGTGTAACATTTTTAAATAGCATTAAAACCACAAACCATCCAGCCCTTGTGATTAAATATACAAACATTTGTGAATTGATAAGGCTCATAGGTACATATGCAAAAATAAAGTGCCCCACCCCCGACCAAGAAACAGTTCTGTACAGCTAAGTCTGAAAACAGAGAGAGCAAGTTATTTAACGTAAAACCTCCCAAGCTGGAAGTGCAGCCAGATTTTCAATCCCTGTTCTCATTTCTGCTTTCAACTCAGCAACACAGGAGTATTTACAAGTGGAAGAGGAGCTGCCGTGGCTGACTCCGCAGTGCTGCTGACATGCGACCTGTCCAGCTAGGTGCCTCACAGGGCCTTGGTGCTGGCCGGGTGCGCAGTGTGGGAAACGGGCTTCTGAGGGTAGGAGCTGTACAAGTAAACCTGCAACAGGATAGCGATGTCCACAAAAACCTGCAGGAGTCCACAGATGGAGAACTGGAAAGGGGCCTGATTCAAGATGAAGTAAACAGTCTTGAACGTGTCCCCACTGGTCCACATCAGCACCATCTTGACACTGAAAGACAGAAAAGAAGGGAAGAGTATTTACTGAGAATGTGGCTTGTGATTAGACCTGCTGTGCCAGAGGACCCCACCTGCTTCAGCGAGGGTTTATACGCAGCAGTGGGTTGGGACTCTCCTCAATGAGAGCAGACAGCATGCCTAGCCAAGACGTGCAGCACTGTACTTGGAAGGGAGGATCAAATTCTCTACCCCATAAACTACAGCACTCTTATCACAGCAGTTACAGCTCCACATGCCTGTGGCTATGAAGGTATCCAGCATTTTAAAATATCCAGCTAGGATATTTGACTCAGCAGTGCTCTGCAAACATGACTGCCACGTGCTGACAGCACTGCCCATAAACCAAAGTAATACAGCGCATGGAAAACAAAGGCAACTCATCCCAGCAGTCATCTCTTGTGCGTGCCATTTTGTGCTCACACAAGGTGAAGTAACGCCTAGACTGCTCTCCCATGCACACACAATGCAAAACCAAAAAAAAAAAAACCAGAAAGACACATTGTCCAGCAATACAGAAAGAGAGGAAACGACATGCCTGCAGCTGTCCCTGGAAGGATGAACATCACTAGGGATTTTTATCAAGGACACAGATCAAGAGCAATGCACAGACTTCCTTTTAACAGCCATCCTTGCTTTCATCTTGTTGTACTGCTGAGCCATCCCCTTCTCCTGCAGTCCATCTCCTGCTCCCCCACATCAGGAGAGAAACTCTGGGGAACAGAAGCAAGTTCTTCAGACTGAATTTTTTCAGTGCCCTCAACAAAATGTGAACAACCAGGTCCTGAAGGCTGTTTCCAAGCCTCATGCAATTTAACAGGAGACCTTTTCAAGCAGCTGGATAAGCGGCAGTGGACAAAGGCTTTGTAGTTCACAGTATGAGCATTGTGTGTGATTTGTCATAATTATGAGCAATTACATTTTGCCAGCATTGACTCCAATTCATCAGATGCAGTCAGGCCCATGGAGCTGGGTAGGACTCAATGTTCATGTCTCAAACATCCAGGCAGGGAGCTAGCACAATTTGTAATTTGGAGTCAAGTACACAACGCTACTGCAAGCCAAATGCTGCAGCCCACTCTCTGCCCATACGGGAAGGGTAGCCAAGATCATCAGTGTATGCTGCCCCAGCATATCAGTGTATACTGCTACAGAAACACAAGCCTTTTCGTAACTTGTGTCAACATCACTGAGAGCGTAAAACAGGTCCACAATCCTATGGACCTTCTAAAGAGAGCCTGTGCGGAAGCGCAAGCAAGGACATGGGGTTGAGTGAGCAGTCATTTGCCACCCGAGGTCATTCTAGAAATGTAAATAAATCATCGGAGAAGAAAAACAACTGCTAAACCCACAGTGTTATTTGTGCTCGGTGCAAGCAGCCTGCACTACCTGCCTTCGGCATCTTCCCAGTCACACCGACTCACACTACACTTACAGGAGGTTTACAGGCACAGGGAGTGGTGGGGATTGTTTGGGATTTTAATTAGGAAGGGCAATAAACTCTGAGGGTAATAAAATTGGCACCTTGCTTGCAGGCAGCCAACATTCCTCTTCCTCTGATTTTAAGCATATCAGTGTTTGCTGGGCACCTGATCACAATTTAATTGTGAATCTGTCCTGGCATGGTTGGGGACCCTCACTAAAAGCACACGCTTAATGCGGCAGGTCAAACCAACTGCTCACTGTTGACACAAAGGCAAGTCAGGGATGCCACAAAGTATCTGAGTAAGAATTTAATGTGCAAAGGATATTTGTCACATATTCCCCACAGAGAAAGCTAGCTGGGTTTTAAAAGTGACCCCACGGTGCAGTGCAGATGTGGAGGAGAAAATACACACTGTCAGAAGATGTACAGCCTGCAAAAGCGTTTACTCCCCCAAAGAATAATCAGTGGGGGAAACCTTACAGACATGTGCAGCTCAGCAGCGCTGTAGGAGCCAGGCACTAGAAGCACACCTCTAGCTGTGTCACACGCTGTGCTGAGTTTGCCACAGCAATTCTGGGTTTTGCTAGGAAGCCACCTGTGAACTCAAGAGCCTGCAGTACCAACTGGGTAACTTGGTGCACGCTCCAACAGCCTTTGCATGCTCCAGAGCCCCGCTCTTCAGCTCATACATCAGATACTCAAGGAAATCAGCATCACGTCTGGGGTTCTCACTAGGACATGACATTGCTCTATACACAGGAAAATCTCAACTTGTCCTTGGCAAAAATGATTTCAAAAAATATAATGGATAGTTTGAAGAGCTAACACCACCAGCCTGTCACTGAATCAAGAAATATACATCCTCCTCTGTCCGGTAGCTTGGACAAAACAGCAGAGAAAATCTGCAAATCACCAAGGTACTATGAAAATGCAAAATAAAAATATGGAAAACACTTGATGTTCTACAAAACCTTAGTAGCTGCACCAGGGTTCTTCGAGCCCAGGGTTAATGCAAAGCAGTGACTGTGGGAGTGCCAGCTGCTCTCCATAGAAGAGGCTGGGACTGGACAAAAGCAGCATGTCCAGGCCAGACCTAAAGGTGTGTGGGGTAACTGAAAACAGCTGGGCAAGGAAATGGAGACAGTGGCACCCAAGAAGTGAGAAGAAGCAATGAAGAGACCCAGAGGAAAGCCAAGGAACCATCAGAGGAGCAGAGAGTTTGATCAGATGAGAAGGGGCTAGGAAAAAAGAGGCTAGAGCAGGACAGGGAATGACAGGAACAGAAGATGACTGGGAACTTGGGACACAAGTCCTTTTTCCAATCTGAATTTGGGGTGGACAGATTGAGGAGCACAGCCTGGGTGTTCAGGGTTGTACTGGGTTTGCGTGGCAAGGTTTTGGTAGTGGGAAGGTTTTGGTAGCCAGGCCAGCTGCAGGGGTGGCTTCTGTGAGAAGACACCAGAAGCTGCCCCCATGTGAGACAGAGCCAGTGCCAGTGGGCTCCAGGATGGACCTGCTACTGCCCAAAGCTGAGCCCATCAGTGACCCTGGTCATGCCTTTGCGACAACATATTTATGGAAAAAAAACTGCTGCAGAAGAGCAGCCAGGAGAGGAGTGAGAATATGTCAGAAGCAACTCTGCAGACACCAAGGCCAGTGAAGAAGGAGGGGGAGGAGGCGTGCGAGACGCCAGAGCAGAGAGTCCCCTGCAGCCCGTGATGAAGACCATGGTGAGGCAGGCTGTCCTGCTGCAGTCGATGGAGGTCCACGGTGGAGGAGATATCAACCTGTAGCCCGTGGAAGGGACCCCACACCAGAGCAGGTGGATGCCCAAAAGAAGCTACGACCCTGTGGGGAGCCCACACTGAAGCAGGCTCCTGGCAGGTCCCGTGGACCCGTGGACAGAGGAGCCCACGCCAGAGCAGGTTTGCTGGCAGGACTTGTGACCCCATGGGGGATCCACACTGGAGCAGCCTGTTCCTGAAGGACTGTGCCCCATGGGAAGGACCCACACTGGAGCAGTTAATGGAGAACTGCAGCCTGTGGGAAGGACTCACATTGGAGAAGCTCATGGAGAACTGTCTCCCATAGGAGGGACCCCATGCTGGAGCCATGGAAGAGTGTGAGGAGTCCTCCCCCTGAGGAGGAAGGATCAGCAGAGACAAAGTGTGATGAACTGACCGTAACTCCCATTACCCGTCCCCCTGCACCGCTCAGGGGGAGGAGGTGGAGAAATCAGGAGTGAGGTCGAGCCTGGGAAGAAGGGAGGGGTGGGGGCAAGGTGTTTTAAGATTTGGTTTTATATCTCATTATCATGCTCTGATTTTGATTGGCAAGAAATTAAATTAATTTCCCCGAGTTGAGTCTGTTTTGCCCGTGACGGTAACGGGTGAGTGATGTCCATGCCTTTATCTTGACCCATAAGCTTTTTTGGTATATTCTTCTCTCTCCCTGTCCAGCTGAGGAGGGGGAGTAAGAGAGCGGCTTGGTGGGCATCTGGCATCTAGCCAAAGTCAACCCACCAAAGGGTGAAGACAGGGAATGAGAAGAAGAGGTGTGCTCTGGCCAAGGACCGCCACCTCATCACTGAATGCCTCCAGCGCCCTCTCCAATTAAGTATGTGTTTCACTCCTCCAGTGCCCACCCTAGGGAGGGGAAAACCTCCAACTGCTCTCGGCTCTGCCCCGTCTCAACCAGCACCTGTTTGCACACAGTCTGAAAGTTTCAGCTTGCTGAGGAACCCATCAAGTTCATACATGGCATCTCAGGGAGAAACAGAGCTGCCCCTGTCCCCGCTACCACATCACAGGCCATGCTTCAGGAGGCTGCAAGAGGGGCTGAATGAAGTTTACACCAAAAACAAGGCTTCTGCCACGTCCTAATTTCCAGACACTCAGGTACAATAGCAATGGCCCTTCCGCCTTATCCAGGCGGTGCAATTGCCTTGTCCTTGCTGCACATGCAGATGCCATTCACAGTAATGCAGCAGCGCGTGCATGCCTATGCGTAACTGACCGCATGGATACACCGTCACTGCTCTCATGCTTCAGCTATCGTGTCACCTCAGGATGCCACACAGGAAAGAAAAGCCCATTTTTGTCTGCAGCTTCTCAACTTCACCCACTCACTTGGTGAATTCTCGTATTTATTACATTTGGGGTAAAAAAGAAAGAAACCAACCTATGTTGGGCAGATAGCTGCCTCTTAGCTGCCCTGGAGGGGAAAAGAGCAGTGCCTGTGCAGAAAAGGAGAGCTTTATTGCCCAAAAGAAATGGAGTTTTCAGTTCGTTGTGGGGAAGGAACAGAAAAAAAGGGAAAGTGCATGCAAGCCCTTCTTCCACTGTCTTACTGTAATCTCCGTTTGCTGATCGAAGCTCCAGTCCCTTCCTGTAAGACGTGTGAAGCTCGTTTTTAACAAGCTACCAATACACCAAAGGGGGCAACTCTCTAGGCTCAGTTTTCTTCTCCTGCAGGACTCTGCACGCCATGTGATGGAAAATCTGTGGGACCACAGCAACAGCGTGAGTCTCCCACATGATGCAGCAGCAGCTCCAATGCAGGCTGCCAAC